CCTCTTCCAATGCAATAAATTTGAAAACATATAAAATGTACACGGCAATTTAAAGAGTCAAGGAGAAGCAAGGCAATCCAGAAGAACAATGAAACTGGAAGACTTAGTCTACCAAATAGTAAAGCTATGGTATTTAAGACAACATGGTATTAAGGCAACGATAAAACCAATAGATGATAGAACAGAGAGTCCAGAAACCCACACTCAAACAGGTACTTGATTTACATCAAAGGTACGACTGTGGTGAAGGGGGAGAGGAATGTTTTAATAAATGGTGCCATTTAATTAAATATCTATATGGAAAAACGTATTCTGACTTCTACCTCCCATGATATATAAAAATCAATTCCAGGCAGAATACAGATCTAAATATAAAAGATAAAATAAGTTTTTAGAAAGCAAATAGGCAGATACTTTCATGACCTCAGAGTAGGCAAAGAATTCTTCAATTCTCAAAGCAGTCACCATAAAGAAAAAATAAACTGAAAATCAAATCTTTATATCAAAAGATATTGAGAGTGCAAAATCAAACCACAAGTTGGGAGAAGATATTTGCGATATGTACATCCAATGAAGGACTTGTATCAGAATATATAAATGCTTCACAGATCAATAAAAAAAAAAATCATAAACCCCTACTAAAGAAAAAAAAAGAAAGGAAAAGACTTCAGCAGGGACTTCCCAAAAGAGGATTTCTAAATAGCCAATAAACACAAAAAGGTGGTCGACTTCCCCAATCATCAGAGAAATACAAATGAAAACCGTAATACGGCTGGTACCTTTATGCACTCATCTGAATAGCTAACATGAAAAAGACAACACCAAATGCTGGTGAAAATGTGGAGCAACAGGAATTCCCACTCATACACCACTGGTGGTAGTGTAAATTGGTATAACCACTTTGGAAAACGCTTTGGCAGTATATACTAAAGTTGAACAGAGATACACACCCTGTGATCTAACAATTCCGGTCCCGGGTAATTACCCAGTGGGAATATTTTCACCAAAAGATGAAACAGACTGTTCATAACAGCACTATTCTTAACAGCAAAAACCATAAATGACTCAAATGTCCCTCTATATATTTGATAGATAGTAACTTGTGGTGGATTCACATAGCAAACATAGAACAATTAGAATAAACTACTTGCAGCAACATGGATGAATCTCATAAACATAACATTGAACAAAAGAAGCCACGTACAGAACAGAACATACAGTGTAACGCCATTTATAGGAAGGTGAAAGGCAGGCAGAGCTCATCAATGAGGACAGAGGTTGGGAACGCAGGTACCCTTGGAGGGTCGGTGACTGGGAGAGCCACAGGAAATCTCAGGGCTGGGCAGCTGGTTACCTAGGTGTGTTCGGTCTGTGGAAATTCAATGAGGTATGCACTTCTACATGCATGTTACACTTTAATACAAATATATTGAAACTAAAAATAAAAGATTAAAGTAGAATGGGTTCTAGGACATTCCTCATAAGCTTGCCTGGGCCCTTTCATGAGAAGGGCCCTTTCATGAGAAGGACCCAA